TGGAACTAGCATGTCTTTTTTTAAATTTGAGTTAGCACCAATATGAGCAAATAACTATGCATGCTTATAATTGCTTAGAGGAGTTCCACCATGAGAAGCAGTGAGTGTTGGAGCATCGAGAATTTTGAATAGTAGGTGAAGTGAGTATGATTCTATCAAACATTTCTTTAGACACATCATTTCACTTATTTACGCCAAATTAAATTATAATTGGGTCAAACTTTACCTTTTTTAGTTTAGAATTCAAGATATTTTATAATTAGGCCTGGTGCTCTGATTTTGGTTCAAATAGGTATATATTTATTTTTGTTATATATTTTTAAAATTAAATATAAATATAAACGTTGAAATATTCATATTAATTTATATAGATTTCATTTTTTTTTAAATTACTGGATGCGTTTTGTCATATCAACGGTAATAAAAATTCCAAGAACCATTGAGAAAAGGCTCTTGCACCTCCATGGTTAATCTACTTGTGCAGCCTTGAGGCCGCACCTTTGTCCAAGAACCATTTGAGCTCTCCTTCCGGCGAAATCATCTGAACCGGAAGCTTTGGATCAGTCTCCTCTTTCTCGATCGCCGTGTAAACCGCATCCGCCTTGCCAGCCCCGGTGACAACCATGGCTATGTTGGAAGCTGAGTTAATCACCGGCAACGTCAAAGTTATCCTCTCCAGCGGGGGTTTCGGCGCGTCCTTGACGCACGCCACCCACTTCTCCGTTGGTTCACCGCCGGGTGATTCGGGAACAGAGCACCCACCTGCCCATCAGGCCCCATATCCAGTAACATCACATCAAATTTAGGGCGTTGAGTTCGTGTCGATGATGCTATTACGTTCCCTGCTACCAAACGCCGCAGCGTTGTCTCGTACACGTCTGCTACTCCTTCAGCTGGCAGCGCATCATCAATGGAGTACACATTATAAGGTGGAATCGGCACCTGTCAACACAAGTCTTTCTTTTCATTGTCATGACACGGTATATAAGCTGCAAATTAATTTACCCATTGTATTCAGAGATCTAATAACCAGAGCACATAACATGCCATGGAGATAAATCCGTCATAAGCACGCTTGTAGTTGCTGTCTACGTGAGTCCTGGGCACCACTCTCTCGTCCACCCAAAAAATATGCCACTTGGACCATGGGATTGTGCTGGCATACGGAGGCTCCACCAGTTTCCTGAAATTTTCGAAGAAATTTTTTTGGTCTGGGAAATCGAGAAGACTTGAATTGAACTGAGACATGCATGTAACAGAGCAATTAAGAGACGGACTTGAGGTACTTACGGAGTTGCCGGACAGGACGAGTGTGAAGTAGCCTCTGTCTCGGATGAATTGTTGGGAGAGATCGGCAACGTATTTGGCGAGAGAGACGGCGAGATGCTCCTTCGTGAAGACCTCGACGGTCATGTCCATGGACGCCTTCACAACTATTCCGGGCATGTTTCGCCTGGGGCCCAGTGGAAAGACGCCATTGTTGGAGCTGAGAGGGCGGACAAGGGATCTGTGTCCAATTTGAGGTGAAGAGAGGAAGGCCACGGGTGGAGATTGTGGTTTTGACAACAACCTGGTTTGAGGATTGCACCAGGCCGAGCTGGAGGCCAGGGAGACAGCTGCAGAGGTGGCCATGGTTTCACACTTCACTCTTGCTACGAAAAATTGACGGAAATTATGAGCTATGTCGTGTTGTGTTGTCGGTTGCTTCCTCGTCGCCTCTATTTATATTATTACTCAGATCTCTCTGTTACCGCGAGAAGAAAGGCATGGATCCTTGAGAGGATATTTGAAGCGAATCATTGTGTGTCCGAATAATAAAATGAAGATCCTTTTTTAGCCGACTTGGTTGAAGAATTATAAACGGATACCCGATTCGGGTGTGAAAATTGAAATTCAATTCGGTAATAACAACGTAAATGCTGATAATTTAATTAATTAAGCAGGGTGGTGAGAAATAAAATGTGCCATTGAAATTGAATTTCTGAAGTGAAGAAGAAACTCATGTCGGCAAAGAAGTTAACAAATGAAATCTTCTTTGTTGAAGGGCAAACTAAAGTTGTTATTCGCGCCTGAAAAGCCAAAATATTATTCCTGAGATCTCTACGGTCCAAGGGGCAGGCAGGCAAATGATCCTTTTATGATCAAGGAAATCACCCTCGCTCCCCTTCTGTTCTTTATGGTATTCATTCATTGGGTACGTGGCTCTAAAAATATTATTGTGCCAAAAAGTGAAAGTGGTTTTTTTGAAGAAAAATTCACTTGAAAGAGTGCCAGGAGAATCTTCTTTGGCTGATGGATTGCTAAATGGAAGATAACGGAACTATAGAGATGGGGAGGGGGCCGTCGCTTTGCTAATTAATTCTTTGTGCGCGGTGCTCCCATGTTAACAAATTCTCACAGACTTTTTTACCTTGCGTGGTCTAATGAATGAATTTAATTTCATCTCAGGATCGAAGGGTTGTAAAATTGTAGTTTAGGATATTTGGTTTTTAAATAATCTAAAGTAGCATTTGAATTAATGAATTTTTATTTGGATTAGATTTGAAATATTTTAAATCTCATATTTAAAATTATTTGTTTGAGGAGTTTTAAAAAATTCAAATGAAAAAGATAGATAAGTAGGTTTGAAATGAAAATGAAAAAATTTAAGAAGGATGAGCCTGTTTCTATTTTTTAATAGATAAGAGATGGGAATAAGAGAAAAAAAAAGATTTAAGAGTTATAAAAATATTAATAATAAAAACACGAAGAGAATTTTATGTTTTAAATGACTGAAATTTTAAATCAATGTGGCATGGAGGGAATTTGGAATTAGAAAAGAAATGTAATGAGAGATTCAAATCAAAATTTATAAATTTTAGTGTATTCAAATGAGAGCTTCATTAATCCATACGCAATTTACACTTTAGTCATTTAAAATTTAAGTCACTTCAAACCTTTTGTCTCTTCATAACTCATTTTTTTTATTTCTTGTCAATTGAAAAATGTATATAAACTCATCACTTTTTATTTTTGTTTTTGCTTTGAATCTCAAATCATCTTTTTTTATTTAAAATTTTTAAATTATTTAAATAAAAGTTTTAAATTTACAACTTAAAATGTGAAATTTTAAATTTAAAATTTAAATGCATGTACGTTGAACTGTCAAAATTTGCAACTCACATGAGAAAAGTTGGCCAATAAGCCTAGTTGTAAATATTTCATCTATTTTTCAAAATTATACATTGAGATGTAATAATCTATAATATATTGTTTAGACAAGATCTTTAAATAGTTCACATTCAATTTTGAATTGTTAGATATGAATTATCATATTTCAATATCAAATTTTGAAAAGTAGCAATGAATTATCTAATTAGTTACTAAGCTATGTTGGCTAAATAAGCTTTTTTAAAAAATTTCTATTAAAATTTAAAACATGAGTTTCACATTGTGAAAAAAAAATGCCAAATCTTATATTTAGATTAAAGATTTTAAAATGTAATTTTGTAACTTTCTAACCACAAAATAAAAATTAAATTCATCTGTTGTTGTTGTTGTTGTTATGGGTTGAAGGGCAATTTTACCTTAAAACTTTTTTTCGAAAGACACTAAACATTTTAAACTTTTTTTATGGAGCATTTTTACTTAAGAACTTTTTAAAAGAGTACTTCTGTACCCTGTCGTTAAATCCACTAACTATTGACTATCAAAAGTTGAGTTTGACCAATGGATATGACACTTGGATGAGCTCATTGGTTCTATATGTCTAAGATATGCAATGTTTCTTTCCCTTCACAAGACAACTTTCAAAATGGAGTCCTCAAGGTTAGACAACAACGATCCTGAGCTCAACATCTTAAAATAGAGCTCTAAGGCTCATGTCTCTCGACACAACACTATGTCTAGAAGATTATTCAGACAAGATTTCATGTCTTTACAATCAAACTTCATTGTCTCCAGGCAATGCCATGGATTACGCCCTCCAATCCCTTAGTCATCTTGATTATTCCTTGCAAAGTAAAGGTGCTAAAATGAAGTGATGCTCGATTTTAGAGAGCTTAAAATACCCATTCCTGGGTGGCTCTCTTTCCTTCATTGCTAAAAATGGCTTCTTCCCTGTGGCAAGGGCAACAACCTTTATAGAATATTGCACTCTCACCTCTCCAGCATCGAATAGCCATTATTCTCCTCTACACTGCCTCCCTCAATGGTCACCACCAAAATGCATCCTCAGCAACATCAACCCCATCTTAGACCCAGTCAGAGTTATCCTCTATCATTATTGGCGACAACTAGTAGTTGGGACACATTGAAAGCAGAGGATAGGGAATAGATCCTAGGTATCTTGATTTAAAATCCTTTACGAGAGTGTTTAACAATTCAAATTATAAAACAGGACATTTACTCACCTCACATTGCTAATGTTGGAGTTTTATGCTCAAAGTCACCATTCATGCCAACGACGGCTGCAAGGATTTGGCTAAGCCTCAACGATGACATGATTTTGCATATAATCAACATAAATTCTCTGATCGAAGCCCCATTGCTAGTGGTGCATCCTTTAATCTTGTAGATCACTCCTTGCAAGGAAGAGCAATCCCCAAGAAGGAAACTGGAGGATGATCATTTCAATGATGATCATGATTTACTCTTGATAGAATTGAAGAAAAGCAAAAAAAGATGTAAGGGGACTCTACATATAAGGTTTACAATTAAATGTGGCATTTCTGTTGATCAAACTTAATTTTTAATGATCAACAAATAGTGAAATTAATGGCAAGGCAAAACACACTCCTTTTGAAAAGTTGCTGGACAAAAATATTTCATCAAAAAATTCATGATACCAATGTCTCTGAAAAAAATTATAGAATCAATTTGCCATTTAACTCAATTATTATTGGTTTTAAATAAGTTGTGATGTGATGGGCCCAAAAGCCCAACGGCTACCCGAACCGGCTAATTCCCGTTACCAAACGCGGCGCAATGCAGGGGAAAAAGCCCTAACCTAAAAAGTGGCTTGCGGAAGCAGCTAACCCTCATTCCCGGCCTCAAGCCCTCGACTCAATACAGGACGCCTACGGCGGAAGTTGATAGAGAAGAAGGTATAGAGGAAGTCGAAGAAAATGCAGATCTTCGTGAAAACCTTGACAGGGAAGACCATCACCCTCGAGGTCGAGTCCAGTGACACCATTGATAATGTGAAGGCTAAGATTCAGGACAAAGAAGGTGCGTTTCTTCGTATATCCACTGCAGAGCATGATGATTGTGATTTTCTTTTTTGGTCATGATTTATTCGTTGGTGCCCAGGTATTCCCCCGGACCAGCAAAGATTGATTTTTGCTGGGAAGCAACTGGAGGATGGCCGTACCCTCGCCGATTATAACATTCAGAAAGGTTGGTCTGTTAATTTGGATGCTTTTGTTTTCTCTTCTTTCAATATTCCGATTATTGTTTGGGTTGCCACAAAATAAATTAAGGGCTTTGCTTTGTCAATCTAATTTCACTGGTTACTCTATATTGCAGAGTCCACATTGCACCTTGTTTTGAGACTTCGCGGGGGTATTATCGAGCCATCTTTGATGGCATTGGCCAGGAAATATAATCAGGATAAGATGATATGCCGCAAGTAAGTTCGTACAGCAGAGCTTTTATACTCTTACCGATCTTGTAATTATTTACTCGAGGGTCGGCCAAATTAATTATGGCAGTTTCCAACGTAGTTCTCATGATATGGACTGTGCCACTCTTGTTTATGATGACTTTTCTGGCATAAACCCTTCAATTAGCAAGTGAGCTTACCTAACACATTCACATTCGTACTCTCTGGATATGAAATATACAATGTTGTTTGTATTTGTAATTTTTTTTTTTGAGATCAATGATATATTGCAATTATACATTTTGCTTGTCCCAAGTAAAACTGTGATGAAGTCAGAATTTTAATGTTGGATAGCGCTGGGGGTTTGATTGTTGGAAAATAATTGCGATATAATCAACATTTTTATGAAAAGTGGAACATATAACTTTGAGTCCGATTAAGAGAGATAGAGGAAGGCTTAAGAGAGCACTTTAGAAGTTGTTAACGCGATCTCTTAATTAATAATATTCCTAAAAGCTTGATAAATGATAGAGCACAATGGCGTCTTGCAATCCATGTAGCCGACCCCACCTAGTGGGATAAAGGCTTGTTGTTGTTGTTGTTGTATAATCAACATTTTTATGCACTGCGCTGCTTTTGTATACTCATATTTAACTAGCAGTCATGAGTGTTTGTTTATGTTTGGTTTCCAGTGCTTGTAAAATGTCAGCAGAGGATAATGATCCGATGCTTGTAAGGAGTGTAATTTTACTGACATGGTTATATATATGACATTTTGCTTTGCAGGTGTTATGCTCGTTTGCACCCCCGTGCTGTCAACTGCAGGAAGAAGAAATGTGGACATAGCAACCAGGTATACCATTTTGATTTTATGGTTTGAGGATTTGAGCTGCGTGACATTGTTTATCTTACAAGTGGCTTATTTTTTGTATCATGTCTAATAATGAATATGCTGTTTTCATTCTTTTATTATAGCTGAGGCCTAAGAAGAAGATCAAGTAAACTTTCACGTTTGGAAGAAAGAACCTTGGCTTCCGTGGATTGCTAATCTATTTTGAGATCCAGAAAGCTTGATTTTCTTGTTACAATTGTAGGCTTGATAAACTACATATTATTATAATATTATTATTATTATATGATAGCCGCATGAGCGGTTTCTCTTGGTCTGGTGTTAATTTTTGACATTTTGCTGGAGATGCATTACTATCGTATGGACAATCATGTCTCTGTTTTATGTGACACTATCTATTTGTATTTGATTTTGACGATGTGCATTACGTTGATCTCCTTTTGCCCCTAAGTGTTTTGAAACCCCACGCAAAGTTCTGCCATAGGGAAGGAGCAAAGTCCCAAGTTATGTGCAAAGAACATATAGCTCATCCTTAACGAGACTAGTGCACGCCACACTACTTTTTGTTTGAACCTAGGGATCACGATGATTAAAATAAATAAACAAATTAATAAATGTTCTCATTTTATACGTATCTGGTATGATACACATCCTGTACTTTGGATATGTATAATGCATTTTGCTATTTGTATTACTGTATTTTTTGTCTAAATAATGATACAAATAACATTGATATTTTGGTTGGTTATTATAAAAGTCATTTTATTATTTGTCTAAAACTGAAATGCATGTACATATCTCCTAAAATATTCTCCAACTCGTGTGTTAGAATTTTAAAAATTGTTAACTGTTAATCCTCAGTTTCATTACTTGCCTTCATTGTTCGGGGAAAAAAAAAATCAACGTTGATGGTAATCCAGCCAGTTAACTAACAACTGTTTTTTTTTTTTTGTGGTTTTTAATTACGAAAGGGAGATTCAGGCCATTAACCTAGCCTAGAGATTACAGATCTTTGGGGCGGTGTGTCCCATTCGGTCTTTGATCAAAATACACGGTCAAACAAGTGGAGTCTGAGTCGCTTCTCCAAAGGGTAGCTCGTTAAGAAACATCCGCTCCGCTATTGCTTGATGCCTCTAGGGATACACTGATACACGTGCCTCAGGTGCACTGCCCCTTCTCCAAATGATAAAAATGCAAATAAGAAAGATGACAGCTGTGGGATTTGAACCCACGCCCTTTCGGACCAGAGCCTAAATCTGGCGCCTTAGACCACTCGGCCAAACTGTCAATTGTGTTCGATTGATAGAATCATTTTACTCCTGTTAAGTTGAAATTAACAGTTAGCTTCTTCGTTTCTTTGAGGAAGGTCTTACTCATGAATGGTGTTAAATTAGGATAGAATGGATTTGAGCAAGCAACAGATCAAACTAGGAAATTAAGATCTCTGCTCGCCTATATCGAGCAATATTTCACTTTAATTCTTTTTAAACTTGAGGTATGTTTGCTATCTTCTAAAGATCTCACGCAATCACTCTATAGCCACTTAGTTAGCTCAACTTGAAGTGATAAAACCAGAACAGATGAGGACAAAAGGATGTAGTAGGATGGCACAAAGGTTGAAAGGGAATGCAAGCATGAACAGAGATGAAATGATACACACTTCATTCTTCCAAATCTATGAACAGCTAAATCATACTATCTCAAATCTCAATTCTATCTCTATCATCTCAAGGTCTACAAAACTTCATCTTTGATCATCCTCGCTAATTCAATGTAAGTTTCAGCGCTGTTCTTGGGCCAGAATGCTTTCAAGTGTTGGCAGCGGAAGACCCAACCAATGATTGGCTAATCCTTCTTCAAGGGACTATGACAACTAAGCTTTTGTGGAGTGCGGATCAATTCTTCAATTCCAGAAATCTAACCACTGAGAACTGCTGCAAGACTGATCCAAGAGACCACTTGGATCAACATTATACCATTTTTCAATCGATGCCAATTCTCTTATATCATAATTCTTGGCATCCTCTGACCTTTCATTTGAGAAATTTGGCTTTGCTTCAGACATCCAGTTGCTTTGTCCGCTGCCTGAAGCACCATCCTCTGTGCTGTTCTCCATGCCAACCTTGTTTTCCCTTTTACAATCACCATTACATGTCTCCGATAAATCTCTTAGCTTTTGCACCTGTTGTCAAACACACACACACACACACACGTGACATAATCATATATGGCGTTGGAAATTGTACAGGTACTCCAACTAAAAGACACAAATTAATTACCTCAGCTTGCAAGGATTCCTTCTCTTTCTTTATGGACTCAAACAGAGATGATAAATTGTCATACTCATCTCTGAGTTTCCTGTATTCTTGCTCTATCCGTTTTGATTTCCATCTGGCTCTTCTGTTTTGGAACCATATGGCAACCTGGCGTGGCTGCAACCCAAGATCTCTTGCTAGTTGCATCTTCTTTCTTGGCTCAAGCTTTGACTCTGATTCAAATATGCATTCAAGTGATCGGATTTGTTCATCACTAAACCTCCTCCCATTTTCTATCTTGTTCTTCTTTCTCGGAATCTCAGGTGGCTTTGAGCCGGTGAAGCTTCCAATGTTATGTTCCTCTGATGCTTGAGTATACTCACCACTCGTCATCATTAGAAAATCAGCGGTAGCTGAGAAGGGAATAATTTGAAATTCTATGGACCAAGTAGGAATTTGATGAAAGATTTAAAAGTCTGATGAAGAGCATAGGCTGCAGAATACATAGTTGGTGATTTCTATTAAGTTGCGGGAACTTGTAATTAAAGGGTCATATTGGCCAGTGAATTTAGGTGACGTGTGGCTCTTGCTTTCTAGTGCTCTGTAGAAACAACTATCTTTGCTTTTCTTCCTGTAGATTTCCTAGAGGGCCAACACTCTTTTATTTGAACAAGGAACTGCCCACTTGTCACTCAAAGAAGCACACGTGTTTCTTTCTTTTCTTTTCTTTTCTTTTTTTAAAGATAAATGGAAAATATCTGCGCCTTCCTGAGAAGAAGGAATTTATATCAGTAATCTTTCGAGGTGTTTTTTCTTGGCGTTTGATATTTTTAACGTTCGTCGTTTAACATTCCCTAGTTCTCAACTTCTACACATTCACGATAAGTTACTTGAGGCTTCATATTATTGTCTCGGAAGCTAGTGGTTTTGTTTTGTTTTGTTTTTTTTTTTTTTTGGGGGGGGGGGGGGGAAGCTGTATGGGGGATTGAAAGGAATAATCGTTATAGCCATTCAGAACATGAATTGCTCCGTAACTGCCAAAGACTGACCGTGACTGGTATAAGATATCACGTTGCCTGAATGAAAGTTTCAGCTGAATTTGGGATTATTATTATTTTTTTTAACCTTTTTAGCATGGAAGAAACCGATGTTTATGCCAAGGAGAGATCTTTCTTCTCTTTTGCTGTTGGAATCTGCTGACGAGAAATTCTCATCCCTTGTCAGGTTCACGGGTAGCTTTCTCAAGTCTGGATCGCTAATGCTTTCCTCGATTTAGTCAAACGTATCATGCACGGCTTAGTAACAAAGCGAAGACTTCTATCATAAAGATGGAAAATAAGTTCATACATATCAGTTTCCTGACTTCAGATTCAATGCAATAATTTGTTTTTAAATTAATGGGACAGCGTTCCCCGGTTGAAAACTAGAGTGTTTCCATTTCAAGTGCAATCGGTAATCAACTTTATTAGGTGGAAGTGAAGCCACAGGAGTGGTGCCAGCGAGATGATGTCAAAAATATAGCAGAAATTGAGCCATGTTGTTACTGTGGTAAACTCGGCAGGCCTGTATTTTGGGAAGCCGATAAGGAGATAAGATTATAAGGAGAGAGGAATCGTGAGTGGGATCAAAGAGCGGTCAATTGGAGTCGCCTAACAGAGACAAAACACTGTCGGGGTGTGGGGTTAAATGACAAAAAGCCAGGTTTCACGTAATTATAGTTGGGCAAGGACAAAGCCAATAAATTGGGCGTTTTGTTTTGTAGCACTGCCAGGACCATGGCTTCCAAGGCGTGGGCAGATTAGGGGCGTGTGGGAGGGTTGGCTTTATGGGAAGCTGTATGAGGCCAAAATTTGCACGGCAAGGGAAGCCTCGGTAAAAGCAAATAGGAAAAGTTTCAATACGACACCTTCACCCAACGTAATTTAAAAGAAGCCCCTAAATTCTAAAATTTCATTGTACAATGGAGAATTGAAATGAAATTAAATATCTGATTAAAATGACCTTATTGTTCTTGAAAAAAGAGAAAACAAAATGCAGAGTTGCAAATATGCACATCACTATTATTCGTCTCCTTTACATGAGTTGTTCATTACTCTAACTCGAGTTGTTCACATTAATTTGGCATTAGTATTAGACTTGTCAAAGAAGAGAGCAATCACCAATACTTGCAAATGATCCTTACGTCAATAGTTCATTTTATTTTTTGTATTTAATAAATATATGAGTCAAATAGAGTTGTTCATCCCTTGTACACGACTTGTTTATATTAAGAATTTTGTTATCCTAATATAAAGAGTTGCGAATTCTCCTTACATAAATTGTTAATTCTCCACACTCCATTTGCTCATTTTTCCTATTAAAGTTGTCCATGAGCTTACCATCACTTGGTTTTATTCATAGTGGTGTTATCTTGTTATTAAGATTTACAAATTTCCTCTTCATCAATTGTTTATTTTCTCTACACAAGTTGTTCATGCGCCTAGTGTGTTTGTATTTATAGTGGTGTTATGCTATTAATGAAATTTATAAATTTCACAAACGTTAGTCGTTCATTTTTCATATAGGTATTATTTATGTTCCTTACATGAGTTACTTATGCACCTCGCTTCGCTTGCTTATATTTAGAGTGCTACTAATTACCTTTTGGCTAATAGGCCAACATGCACATTAAAAATCACATATGTGAATGAATAACTTACAAACTCCCATACTACCAAAACCTTAGATGGTAATATATTAGTAATAAAAATCAAAGGCCAGAGAATGGACAACATAGCATCACAAAAATGAAGGCAAGTTCATTGATTACATTAGTTTGTGGTAGAAAAAATGACCAACACAATAAACTCTCCTTCAAGAAGATCATATAATTCCAATGAAATGTTGTAGGTTTAGTTGCCAATTTGGCAAAACCGTGCTCCATTTTCACCCAATTCTAGCAAATCAAAGTCATCTAGCCTTGCTTTAAATTATGCATAATCAAACTCACATCATCATTAGATCCAACAATTGAGTTACACTAATGAAGATCCTCCTCATCATTAGACATAACGTCCTTACTATGGGGTGAAAACTCATAATCAAGGCTTGATGCTTTGAAGTTGTTCTTCTCGATTGCCATGGTACATAATACTGAATTGCTGCCAAATGTTATGTGCAAAAGATGTAATATGTGCAAAAGATGTGATATCTCCTTTACTAAACACAATTAATTACACAAACTAAGGTAATCATAGGTAGTTATAAATACCATATGGATTTTTTCACTCCTTTCCCTAAGTGAAGCCCCACCAAATGATTATGTAATGTATGAAACTCACTCATTTCACAATTTCATTTACTTAATAACAACACATTGGGTTCACAACATTACGCTATCTAAGTGAGCATTAATATTATTTTTACAAACATTCTCCACTTCAATTCTTAATTTCATAACACACTTCATATTCTCATTTAGCCATACATATAGTATTCATATGTCAATACAACCATGCTGTCCTCATATCACATATCACACGTTTCTCATTTCAATTATATGTCATAATTTGAAATTCATTTTGAGTTCAACTTCATATTTTAGTCAAATCATAGGTAATACACTATCATAGGGTTTATAGCATGCTTTCACATTTACAAATTCAAGTATACATGCAAATAAACCCATTTCACATTTTAACACAATTAACAAACAACTACCCAGGATAGATCTCTCTCAGTTAACTCAAACTTTTGAAAGGTCAAAGATTTACCCCTTAACAACTTGCTTCCAAGCTTGTTTTCTAAGCCATCTATGGTACTCATACAATTAAACTATAATTAATCAAGTCCAAATTCATCAATATTACCAAAAACATACTTTCAACTCTCATTTTTCACTTCTAAAATACCCAAAACCCTCATTCTCACATTTATGCTCACACATTGGGTGTATTAACTTCTATCATCCTCAACTAACCATTAAACTTTTCTTGAGTCATTAATGTCAACAACAACCCCAAACATCCATAATTAATGCCCTAATTTTGAATATTAATGAATCTTATCAACTAAAAGTTTACAAAATCATCAATATTGGGTTTAAATAATATAAACAACACCTATTAACTCCATTTGAGTCAATGGATTCAGATCCATAATCTATATGGACTAAAAATTAACTCTCATTACCAAACCATAACTAAAAGCTTAAGAAAATGGGTTAGAAAGGGAGAAGAATAAGTTAGGAGGCTTATCTTAGGGTTTTAGTAGCTTCAAAACACTTTTAATCCTCTTTAGAATAAAGCCCTAACAAAGCAAAGATAAGTTTTCTTGTTTTTTTCTTCTTTCTCTTTTTTTTAGTTTGTTTATGACTTATTTTTACAAAAAAGTTTACCGTGTGTAGTAGTATCTGTCCCCACACGCTACAGCATGCGGTACAAAAAGGGGAATTTCATGTTTTGGTGGCTTGTGCACCATGGTATAGACCATTGCTCCTTATTTTTCTCATTTTTTATGCTCGGGTAGCCCTACTTCACTCCGAACTCAATTCTAAAGCTGAAATCACAACTAAAAACATTAGTTAAACTCTCTGTAGCTATATACCACATAAATTTACTTAATTACTTTATTCACTCAGCTAATTTAGGGTTAAATGTTTTCTAGATGTTATAATTCTCCTCTCTTTTTAAGAATTTTGTCTCCAAAATTCAAATAATTTAATAAAGCTCATAAAAACATGCCTCATTGAAATAAGTAAGGGTATTTTTCTTCATCTTCTTGTCAGTCTCCTACGTAGTATTACTAAGAGTTATACCTTTCTATATAAGCTTCTCAAGCCAAATTGTCATATTTCTCAGCTATTTCTCTTTAACATCAACAATTCTCTTTGGCTCAATCCAATAGGTCAAATTCCTATATAACTTTGCATCTTTAGCTTAATTACATATGATGTGTCGGGTTAGTATTTTTCAGTTGTGAGATATGAAAGACGTTATTTACACCCTACAAGTGAGGAGGTAAGACAATCTGGTTTGCAAAAAGCCCAATCTTTTCAAAATCTCAAATGGCTAAATAAACTTGAGAGTCAATTTCTTTGCACAAATAGACCTCCTAATTCTAGTTATAGGTATGACCTTTAGAAACACATAGTCACCCACCATAAATTTGAGTAGTCTCCTCCTCTTATCCTTATAGCTCTTCTGTTTACTCTAAGTAGTCAACAATATCTGGGTGGATTATCTCAATCTTCTTATAGGTTTGATCCACCAAATTCAGACCCATTATACTCCTCTCATTTAACTCGATCCAATAAAAAGGCGAAATGCACCTTATACCATACAAAGCCTTGTATGGAGTCATTTGAATGCTTGCGTGACAACTGTTATTATATAAGAATTTTGCTAAAGGCAAATATCTCAACTGCTACTCTACTCAGTTGTCAATAGCACAAGCTTGCAACATGTCTTTTAGAGTTCAGACAGTTCTTTTAGTTTGACCATCGGTCTAAGGGTGATAGGCCGTATTAAACTTTAACTTCATACTCATAATCTAGTACAGTGCTTTTCATAAGTTTAATGTGAATTTATTACAAATTTTTATAAATTTTTTATTTTAA